ATTCTCTCTTTGTTTTTTCTCTCAGTAGTTTGCGAAGATTTGTCGACGTAAGGGAGATATATATATATATAATTGTGGTAATTAGCATCTGTTTTCACGAGTACTATGTGGGTTCTTCTATTTGGTTTTCTAACAGTCACACTCTTGTTCATTACAGGTTACATTGATGCTGAGACTATGTAGGTACAGCTGTATAAAATACAGCTGTGAAAGAACGGCCCTTAGAATGTTATGAACCTACACCTTTGCATGTTTGACGTATTATCATTCCTTGATATTTAATTTACATAAACAAGAAGTAATATGATTGTTTTCACTGTTGTTGGTCTACTACAGTGTAGTTCCTTAAAGCGGATTTTTTTAGGGTAGAGATTTAATTATATTATGCTTAAATTTATTCTTTGATTGAAAATGTGATGACAAGTAAATGTGTTTATACAAAATACTGACTAACATAATATATATTTATATATGTTGCAGTAAATTAAGCATTTCTGATCATAATTTTTTTTATCGCGATTACTATTATTTTACTGGGAGCCCCAGTGGCTCAGCAGTAAGTGTGTGGGATTACAACGCTGAAGATCGGTTTTCAGTACCCGTGATGAGCACAGCACAGATAGATAGACAATTGTGTAGGAACATACTGGAAAGCTATGTTGTATCTATGCTACCAATACCAAAATTATAACAATTCCTGTATACAACAATCTACGATACATACGACATAATTAACTATTTAGGATAATCATGAATCTGATTTTTTTATCACTATCATAGTACAGAACTAAACATTTCATAATCATTTACAGCAACCAACAATTCTTAATAATTATTCTACACAACAAAGTTAATATACATATATATATATGTGATATTTGAGTTGATTATGTAAAACTAGGTTTTAGTAAAGAAGCTGTATGCAAGTAGAGACAACTAGAATATGTATAGGGTAATAAGGCCTTACATAGATAGCTACATATACAGTGTTTGGGCTTTACTTGTAGAGAAACAATTTTAATTCTTATCAATACCACCCAAGGCAAAACACCTAGTTTTTTTCAGTGGCGTAAATGCCACTACAGATTGAATTTTTTATTACCGAAAAGGGTGGTTGGTAGCTTATATGCTTAAGTGTTGGGGAAATAAAATAGTACTGCTTGTTGTCATTATTTGTTTCTTTAAAGTACAACTTAGAAAAGCTAAAGGTTTACGTTCTACAAACATGACTGTCGAACCCGCTATATCCTCTGAACAAAATAATTATACAAATCAGGCACCAGACAGGTGATTCAGCCTTTATTAGGTAAAATAGTTTCACATGATCTTGTTTCAGTTCCTGCCTTCAATCGAAACACATCATTTAAAGTGACTGACATTGTTCATGAACAATGTATAGACCTCAAAGATGACATATGGATATTTCCTTCATGGGGAGAGCCAGTGGGTGAATATAAGCAGACCAGTCAGAGTGGATTGTCGCAAGTTGGCTACAAGCGTCTTAAAGTGACATTAATAGAATATGGTATGTTGCTTCCAGACGAAGTAAACGCAACAGACAAGTTACTAATTCTGAAAAACAAGATTTTTAAGACTCTATATGCTTAGTATGAATTATGTCTGATTTGGCCCCAAAAAGTAAAGGCTTAGAACAAAAATTACACCTAAAAACAACAATACGCGTACTCTACTAATCAATAAACATGTTGCAAGTGAATAATTATGGTTAAAAAATCGCTAACAAAAAATTCTCGTTTTCCAGGTTAGCTTCTGGTTGCTAAGGCTTGAGAAAACTTGACAAGAATAAGCTTTATTTAAAACTAAATTAGAAATTCTAAACTCCACAAGGATTTTCCAGGATCTTGCGTCTCATTCACGTCCTAAGATAACTCAATTAGCAACAAAGGAAAACCAGAATTTCTAACTTTTTTTTTCTTTACATACAATCACCATGCTAAAAAAAACTCATTAAGATCAGCTTAACAAACTACCCAGAAAATTAGCCAAGTGTGAAACCAAACAAGCGTTCCTGGGTCAAGACTTTTGAAAATATGTCGCAGTAGAATTCAAGGTTAGACACGTCCTTTTTATCTACACTTTTAGCAAAGTTTACAAATTTGAACTAATGTAATATGGAAACACAGTTTATAAACAAATATAAATCACAAACAACGAGTAATTGCAACTAAATGGTCAACTTTTCATTAGTACAATATATTATTACACAACATACAAAAGAAAAGCAAACAAGTTGCACCATGTACTAGTATTTTGTATTCGCTTCAAACAGAGCAGTACATCTTGTTTTGTGCTATATTATTCTGAAATATTGTTCCAAATGCCTTATATTACACCTCGCAATTCAACCAAGTTGTTTAATTGTCGTTTGATCTTCTCAAATTTCGTATGAGCCCATACAGCCTTGATAATATTCATATTGGAACTTTGTGTAGGCCAAGCCATGGCTACGAGTGTTTCATCGGCCTTGTTTTCCTACCAGGTATTTTAAATACATTTGCTACACGCTTAGGATCACTGTCTTACTGGAAAATAATTTCTAGTCTAACAGTTCTTATTCCTGGGAAAATTACATGATAGATAAGAATCTTTCCAATCTCATTCTCAACGTTGTTATTTGTTTTGAGCTTTTCAAATAAAAGTTTTCTATACCCATATAGGCCGTCTCTACTTTATATATATATATATTTACTTCAAGTGGGTTCCTCGTCATCATGAAAAATATTTTGTACCTCTCAGCAGTCAGGGTGCCATCAATTTTATGTAAGTCTCCAAAACTATCGGATGAGATGCAGTCTACATTTGTACTGGTCTTCCAGCATGCTTCACTGTAGATATTGCATGTTGACCATAATACCATTCCCCTCTTTGCCATTGAATAAACTATTTTATTTGGGGTTCATCCGTTAACAGCACCTCCTTCAACATTGCTTCTCCCATTGTTTGAAATCTGATGCTAATTTCAGCTTTTTGGTTTGATTATATCTCTTAATCAGTGGTTATTGAGCAGCTGCACATGCATTGAGATTGGTTTGTGCTAACTTACATCTTACTGTTCTGAGGGCAACATTCATTCCCGTACTTACAGCTAGATCATTGGCAAAATATATAATGAATTTTGATGCTTCCCGTACAGAATATTTCCTAAGCTACTGAACATCACTAATGAAGAGTTTGGTATTTATACCTCGACTGCTTCTATTATTAACAATACTAGTTTCACACAACCTCTTTAGAGATTCCGTGTACTTTTATTGAAACATGAAATTTCACCTCAATCTTCACCAGCCAAAAACATAATTTATATATCTTTGTCATGTGGCACTTACGTCCTGTGAACTATACGCACGCTACCACATTTTTTTCTGGAAAGGGTATGACTGGCTACTAATGTGAAAACAGACTGAGAAGGTGTAACCAGCAGAAAGTAAGAAAACTGTTCGGAAACCACAACATAATTAGCTCATACCACCTAAAGACCCAACGGAGAGCAAAAGCTTCATTTATAATATTATTTGTGAATGTGGACTCCAATACAATAGAGAAACGAAATTACCAACAAAAGTTAGAATTTAGGAGCACCGTAAAAACAATAGACTCCTTAATACAGATATACCTGCAATATCCCATAACGCTAGAGAAAATACAATATATTAAATTGTAATTATATTAAAATAATGGGATACGAACCACATACACGAAAAAAAAGATACAAAAACTTTTACATCCACCTGATAAAACACTCAGTCAACCTAGCATAAAAGTCAGCAAACCATGGATATATATCTTGAAATAATTCAAATAAGTTAGTTGATTAAAGTTCTAACAGGGAAGACGAGTGGATAGTACAGTGGCTCTCTACCAAGGAAACACAGGATCAAATCCTGGTTATTATTATTATAGAAATAGTCCTTCTCAGAAATTCCCTCAAGACAGCAACAGATAAGCAGCCAAAATGTAGGGTAAAAACTAGTTAGTAATTAGTATGTAGTGGCTAAAAATATTGATAATTAATCAATTATTAAACTTAGGTGATCACATAGGCTAATAAGCATAATAAAGCGTATGCTTTTTAAAGTTCTTCTTCAGTTTGCCTCATCTCTTTGGCCACCCTGGAATATTCCTCTTTGACCTTGCCTCTTTAACGATTTTTTTCTTTGTGAGGCTTCAATGAGGCAGTGGTGCTTCCAGCACATCGTTGGTACGATTAAGGTCCACTGGGACTGTCTTCAGTGTTAATGGACGATGATAATAAGGAAATATCCAGAGTTGATGGAGTTGCTCTGGCAGTCGGTTATCATCATGATTTTGGAATTGAACATTATTAACGTTAATATACTGTAATTTTTATATTAATATTTCGGTCATATGTAAATACCTTTTGAGGTAGGAAACAATAACATTTTAGAAGTCTGGAGATGATTTGTTTTCATAATGATATCTTTATTTTTGTTTTAATAAATCCTCCTCTCGGTATAACAAATGCATTTATATGTACTGTTTTGTGAAAAAAGAAAACAACAACAATACTAACTCTATCTTTAAAAGATTCAGCCAACTAACATCAAAAAGTTGTTTAATATGCATAGCAATTTAGTTTAGATAAGTTTTGTTTATGACATTTTTTTGAGATGTAATAAGTCTTAATATGCGTAAAAGACGAAAACATTTCTGGTAATGAACGTTGTGTCATGCATAATAATCATTCTCACCTGTCCCACATCCCAAACAATGCAGCTGGTGCCAATCTGGATGCAACTATTTGCCTGATAACACTTAACCTAATACAGCCTTGTGCGCCGTTCTTAACTTCAACACAATGTTAAAATCGAAATATCTGGCTGTAGCTCCGCCTGTTGACTGATAAATGTTTCTTCAGCCAATCATTGAAAGGCTTTTAGTTGCCTGGAGCAACAAGGGTGACAGCTTGAGGTTATTATGCAGAGCAGTGATGCACATGATACGCGCAAGCGCATGCGATAATCTGTATATGAGGTAGTATGCTTGAGTGACAGTGGAATCTATCTACATGCCAATTATATCCAAGTGAATGATGGGGGGGGCTCTTTTAGTCTTAGAATGCTGTTTTGTGGTCTGTTTGAGACAAGAAGAACGCATGGTGTGATGAATGAAAAAAATAGGTTCTCGTGCAATAATGTAGCAGTCACTGTTCGCGTGATGAGTCTGTGAGTGGATAAGACGTAAATGCGGTAGAAGCCTAGATACAGTGACATGGATCGCTGCCAGCCCCACGGCATTGTATCCACTAGCTAATGGTAAATTCGTCGCCATGTTAGTTGTATCAAGGTCGTTTCTTTCTCGGCAGGCTGTCGAGAAAGGTGAGTGCTAACGTTAGTTCCTATGCATTACTGATAACAGTGATTGATGATTAAGCAGTTGGTGGCAGTCAAAGGAATAATGTTAAAACTTACCTGTAATGCTTTATCTTCTTTAATTAATGTAACCTAAAAAGCGGAAAGGAACGCTGAATTTTGTAAATGTTAAGTAGGCAGTTTTTCATCATTTGCTTGATAGTGAATACCAGACAAAGACTTGTAAATTGTAACAATTTACAAGTTTGTAATATTTCATCTTTAGAATTATCACTCTAAACATCCCATATATTAAAAGTGTTTTTTTAAGAGTTTTAAGTTTTAGCCATGCTGGCAATAGAGAAATAGCATAAAATTACTATTCAAAAGTTTGAAGTGAATGTGTTTTCAAAGTAAATGAAATATTATGTTCATGTTTGGACTATGAATACAGAGTGTGAAATCACCTCAGTGGAAGAAGCACTTGAATTATTAAAGTGCTTGCCAAAAAAAAGAAAAAAATTTACTTTAAATGGCTTTTTTTTTTAAATATTAGTCTTGATATAACATGAAGTATGAAGACAAAAATACATTATACACATTTAACTAGCTGAAATCTTTATGTAAAATTTATATTCATATGAATAATAAAATAATCTTTGTTCAAGTTGTAGCCTTTAATTACAAACTTTGCACAATTACAGTACTTACAGAGATTTGCCAAATCAGAATGTAACACGTGCAGTAAAAATTATATATTCTTTATCTTACAAAATGAAAAAAAAAAATCTAGGAAAAGAAAAAACTAGTCGAATTCTTTTTTTTTTTAAATTGATACATTAACTTAAGAAGAATATTAATTTTAGACTCGTAAAACTGAGCTATGCGTTATCATAAAATGTTAAAGCAGAAAAATGTGAAAGCTTGATTGTTATCATGAAATAGGGTTATCAAAGTACATGTTTTACCATCATTTATGTATCCATATAGGCCTATGTTCCAATTAAAATTTTTTTGGGGGAGTGCCAATACTTAAAGGTTTGATACGAGTTTGTGGGATATATAAAGGCTAGAATTGCAAATGTTTACATAAAGAAAACAGGAAGTATTGAAATATATCTTAACGCAATGCTAACAAAGACTGATAAATTGCTTTACATGCTGGTTTTAAACACACTTGTAACACATGTACTACATGGTATTTTTTCTTTGAGGTTTATTTCGGCCCTTGAAAATGTCGAAACAAGATCCAGATTTTGTGAATTTTTATCACAGCTAATGATTTGGTTAGTTCATATGACATATCCATTTACTGACTTAACTATTGTTCTAGTTTACTCATCTAGCTTCATTGTTCAAAAGAAGTTAAGGTTGTTTTTTTGGCTAGGAATACAAAAAGTATTACCTACGAATATTCCAAGTGAATTATAAGGTTAACATTTCGATATTATAGGAGTATTCTGTCTTTCTTTATTGAACGAATCTACAATGTACTAACTTTTGATTTTCATGTTCGTGAACTTCAATTAAAATAATTGAATCTGTATTTCGTTAAATTAATTATTGTAACAAAGTTCGTACTATGTAAGATTTGTTTAATATGAAACTGTACAAAAAGAAAGTATAAAAGTAGATACACTAGCTACGGAATGCAAATTATGTGTATGTGTGGATGTGTATATGATAAGAAGAAGAAACATGAAGTCTCAATATATATATATAAGAGGACAAACATTTTTGACTTCAAATTTCACGTATAAAACTAGGTATTTGATTGGTTATGGACAGTTATTTGACAGAATGGGAGTGACTTGATTGGATCATTACTTCATGACGTGTCGTGCTATAGAAGCATGTATTAGTTAGAAATTCTGTTTCAAAAATTGGCAGATTGTCCTATTCTGTATAGGAAGACATATCGTGGATAATAGTATTTAAAAGGTTTTTGTTATGAAACGATCAAATCGTATGAGCAGATACAATACTATAAAGAAAATCTAGAAACATTGGGACTTACTTGGCCATAACATTGATTTGAATCGATCACAAATTGTAGTTTGTAAAGTCATATGATAATTTTCCTTATTGAGGATTTGATTACAGTATGTATGCCAACGAAATAATGTTTTATTTGAATACAGAATATCGACGAAGTACTATCTTTCATTTGGATATTGTATATACTGACGAAATACACTTTCATTTGAATATGGCGTATAGATTAAACTCTATTTAATTTGAATACAACAAATTGATAAAATACCAGGTTTAATTTCAGTACTGCTTGCCAAATGATAGAATTATCAAAACGTAGGCTGGCTAATATAGGATATTTCATTGATACAGAAATTGACATGCATACTACAAAGGTAACGGCCGGTGTAGAAAGAATGAAACTAAATTCTCCTTACTAATTACCGTAATTTGTACGGTAGTTTATCAATCAGCAAGAGAAAGGTAAATACAGGGGGCGTTGACAGAAATCCATAAAGGGAGTGGTAGTTTTTGAGGAAAAAAGGAAGTGAATGGTGATATTATACTGGGAGGTCCAGGTGTATGCCCCCTCAGAAAAGTTTGTAATTTCCGCTGAAAAATGGTGTTGAAATGTTTTTTGTTTTGTTTTTTACATTCATGGGCGAAACTTAGATGGTGAAAACACACCTGATGCACCTCCCCAGCATATTCACATGAAATATTATTGCTTTTATACAGTTTTATGTGGGTAGTGATAGAAAATAAATGTCCATAGAAGGGTGGTTCGTTGAAAACGTTTTTCCCTGTAGTAAAAGCATGGTCGTGTAGAACGTTCACAAGGCTCGAGTTACTAAGGCTAGACTCTCTCAGAAGCAAGTACGTTGCGTCAGCGAAATGGCTACCGACAAAACAAAGTTTATTAAAAATGCATACTCGTCAGAGCGCAATCTATTAAAAAGCAGGAAGTAATAAAGTATACTTTAGATTTTTGTATTTAATTTAAATTTGTATTAGTTTATTATCATAGATTAAAGTTTCTTCCGTTCTGTATTACAGAAGACAATATCAAACAGGAAAACCATAACATAAATATACTGTTTAAACATGAAATACAGCGCCTTGTAACAGGTAGTTGGTTGTTTAAGTGACAAATGGTATTCCTGTGCGAATTATGCGCCTAATCTACTAGGAAATGCAAAATTGGATGACTGGTAATTGTTCAAACTAAGTGTGTATTGTAGAAGCATGATTTCAGGCTGTTTCTAAGTATATGAACCGTTGGACTAATATTTCAAAAAATATATAAAAAAATAAGATTTGTTACAATTAGCTACTGTGAGAAACGTGTTGACGTTGAAAATGCAGTTATCTTTGTTCTTGAGTACCATTCGTGTATGTTAATAATTTGTCTGCAACAAGGCCAAAAACTGTAACTATGTTCCAGTGCTGAATGGGTACCAGCTAAACTGGAATTTTCATATTAAAAGTTGTTCTTAATTGTTAGTATTTTTCATTATTTTTTTGTTTCCAAATATCTTGTACTACAAGAGCGGTTTTTCAGTATAACAGCTGGCCTTCAATCCATCTACATAAAATCAAATGGTTCCAAATGTAATAAGATATAGTTATAGGAAAAATACAAGTACATTTTGTAAAAGTTTCTTAAGTCATGTTTCAAAATAATAGAATAATAAAATATCTACATTTACCATGACATACAATTATATTTCTAATATATATAGTCTAATTTGTATTAGCTACTAGATGTCAAAATTTACTGTTTTGCTTTATTTACTGTAGTGCTTGGAAAGCGTGTGGTAACAACTGGTACTACTTAGGTAACAAGTTTGCTTTTTTAAGTTATGTAAAGCCACCAGTTTTTTTCCATCGTTTGTTGTTTACAGTGTTTGTACCATGATCATAACAATTTCTTACCTGATATGGTAACCTTGAAAATAAGCCACAATTTATTATGTAATACTATCAGGATTTTTCCAACGTTCGTTGTTTACAGTGTTTGTACCATGATCATAACAATTTCTTACCTGATGTGGTAATAACCTTGAAAACAAACAATAATTTATTTAAAAAAACTATCTCACACAATTAGTACAAAAGTAGGTGATAAATTAATGTAAGGAGGGTTCTTCCTTAAACAATTATCTGATTATTACATAATTAATATAGATACCTCACACCAAGAATACTCTGGCCATGGAAACAAAAGTTTTGAAATACAGTTAACGCAATCTTTATAAACAATTTACTAGGCATAGTTTCACTTAAATAGCTTGTAAATCAATAACTATTCTCTCATGTCAACTTTCCAGAAGTATGTGCGATACATAACCAGTGGACAAAAAATATCTGTTAAATATTTTATACTTGTTTATAAACCAGTGTTAGTATCTGTATATGACAGACTTATACTGAATATTCTGGTTAAGCCTAATGGCTGTTTAAACAGTTAAATTTGTTTGTTTGTTTTGAATTTCGCGCAAAGCTATACGAGGGCTATCTGCGCTAGCAGTCTCTGATTTAACAGTATAAGACTAGAGAGAAGGCAGCTAGTCATCACCACCCACTGCCAATTCTTGGGATATTCTTTTACCAACGAATAGTGGGATTGACAGTAACATTGTAACGCCCCCACGGCCGAGCATGTTTGGTGGGACGGAGATTCGAATCCGCGACCCTCAGATTGCGAGTCGAGCACCCTAACCGCCTGGCCTAAACTGTTAAGGGAATGGAGTTTTTCTTCTATAAGCAATGTGAAAAAATGGATTAGTGTCTGATCATAGTTGCCATGAGCACCGTCTTTATATTAAAAATATCACATCTCTAGAAACTGTTAATAGTTTACGCTGTACTAGAGCGAATGCGTGACTCGTCTATAACCAGAACAACAATGATTATAAATATATATATATTGACGCAATGAAGAGTGAGTACATTACTATTAGGATTTTTCTTATCAACGAAAGATAAGCGACATGAAAGTATAATAGTTACAGTAGCGTAACGAACAAGTTACGCGAAACGAATAGCAATGG